AAATAGTTTCTATTTTTATTGTATTTATATACTATATAACACACATGAAAATAAGAAACTTTTTAACACTAATTAATTACGAAATTCTTGAGCCATATACTCAAGCATTGGTACTAGTTTATCCATTCGCTTTTGTTGTTGTAAATATTTCATATATAATGGATAAAAGTATTGATGATACACTTTTGAAGTAACATTTTGTCTTCCTTGAAGAACAGTAAATAAACTATGACCATTGATTGATGTATCAATAATTGCTTGACCATTGGCTTCATCAATCTCTTTTTGACGCCATCTTAGTCCATTATTAATAGAGTCAATTAATTTATTTTGATTTTCTTTTGTCCAATCTTTATCTGACCAAATACTAAGACCATAAAAATTCACTTTTGGCATTGAGTTTGAAGACAATAATGCACTATCATCAATATGATATGTATCAAATAGTTGTGTACAACGTCCTGTTATAAAATAAAGTGTATATTCTGTCCACATATGTTCAGGTATAGGTGGCGAAAGTGCCCAATTAGCCATTTTAGTTAAAAACGTTTCATCACCGTACAGTTTTTGTAATCGACATAATGTTCGTAATGAAATTGTGCGTGATAAAATGATTGGTGTTACACCGATTGCTGATGTTTTGGATTTATCATTTGGTACACATGATTCTAATTTACCTTGGATTAATCGTTCACTTTCTATCCACCATTCTTCATGCCCGGATCTATCTTCAGCTTTATAAATAGATTGATATAATGATGAAGCGTTATTTTGATGTAATAATTGTTCAACATGTATTGGCCATACAGCCACACAATCTGAATCAAGTATCAGATAGAATTCTGTTTTAACTATTTGTGCAACCACTAGTTTAAACATCATTTGTAAACGATAAGAATCAGTTTTGATATGTTTTAAAAGTATATCATCAGGTACAATTGATACTGTCCATGGCCAATATTTTTTGTATTCACCAGAAAAATATGGTTGTAAAAGATGAACATCTTTTGGTGGAACAAGAAGCATAACTTCAGTAATACGTCGAGAATCAAGATGAGATAATAATGCAGCCATTGTTGCTGGTAAATATGCAAAGTCTGATCGTGCTGTAACAATAACAACAGTTAAATTATTATTTGACTTATTATCGGATTGTACAGGACGTGGCCATTCAGGTTGATTTCTATCTGCAATACATTTGAGTGGTAGAACATGATGAGTAGTAGCTAACAGTGGAGTATGTGACGTAGTTTGAAAGTTCATTTTTGCTTTACCATTTGATATTAATACACTAATGCTGGAAAGAGTAAGGAAGAAAAGAGTAATATATATAATGGAACGAGAGAATTTGGAACAAGTGACAGGAATATTTAATACAGCTTTGAATACATGTAAAATAAATAGTTTTGTTGTTTGTGGAATTGTATTTATTGATTTGACATCTCCAACAGAGTTATCCAGCTTATGATATTTGGTATTCATCTAATCATGACAGAAATACAAAAACAAAAAATGATTTTCATCAATAATATTACCTTGTGTTTATATATGGATTCAAATACAAGCAATTATTTATTTTATTCGTTTTAATCTAAAAGATACATTAGAATGAAACAAAAGAAAAACAGGATAATAGGAGATATAATTCCATGGATACAGATCAAGAATTAGCTTTTCAACATAACATATCTTTATAATGCAAACGAGATTTATGTACATTTGGATAAATGATTGAGAAAGAAGAATCGTTATTTATTGAACACAAATGAATTTTTTGAATTTATTTATACACTTCATTTCTACACGTTGTTGATTACTATTTAGGAAGTGAGTATCATGGTTTTCTATTCAATAAACTACAATAGCTCATTGACAACTTAAAGCTATCTGTTATTTCATGAAAATCTATGTATTAATTTAGATTTAATAATAGATAAATCTAACGTCACACCTAATGTATATTGTTTTAAAATTATTTTACGTTTGATACATAAGAACTGTTCTTTATAATAGAATTTGATTTATTATTTCTCGTGAAAGACAGAATAGTGAATATAGATAATTTCTTCTTTGAACGAAAGAAGACGAGGAGTACAAAAAATACTACTGATGCTTTCCGTGTTGCCGGCTATATAAGTTAGATCTATATTCTACGGTGACTGTACATACTAATATTCATGATATTGTCTCAAACTTCGAAGACGATCGTTGTGACCTGTTTAGACTAGAAAATATGACTTTAAATATTCAGACAAACACACGAATGATATTCATGGTA